AGCGGGAGAGTTTCTTTCTGGTGGTCGTTGACGATTACTCTCGGTACACCACCGTGTTCCCTTTGGCGAAGAAGTCTGAGGTGACTTCTACGCTGATCCGGTGGCTGCTCGCCACCGAGAGTACTCGCCGTCGTCGTGTCAGTTGTCTCCACTCCGACCGTGGGGGCGAGTTTCGCTCCGGCGTTCTCGCCAGATTCTGTGCTGAGCAGGGCATCACCCAGTCCTGGACTCTTCCAGACTCTCCACAGCAGAATGGGGTTGCTGAGCGCCGCTTAGGCCTGGTCATGGAGATTGCCCGCACCTCCATGATCCACGCCCGCGCGCCCCATTTTCTGTGGCCCTACGCGGCTCGGTACGCCGCTCACCAGTTGAACCTCTGGCCTCGCGTCTCTCGGCCAGGGGCTTCACCGACCAGTCTTTGGACAGGGTCCCCTGGTGTTGCGTCGAGGTTTCGTGTCTGGGGCACCTTGGCTCTTGTCCGCGACACCTCTGCGGACAAGATCTCGCCTCGTGCCGTCCCCTGTGTCTTCCTTGGTTTCCCAGAGGACTCCTCTGACTTCACATTTTACCACCCTCCCTCCCACCGGTTCTTTGACTCTCGTGACGTCCGTTTCGACGAGTCTGTCCCCTACTACGTCCGGTACCCCTGTCGAGGTCTCCCGGTTCCCCCCCCCCCCCCCCCCCCCCCCCTGGCTCCACCTCCCCTCCTCCCCCCCTGCTCCTCCGGTACCCCCCCCTGGTCCTGCTCCGTCTGGTGTGTCCCACGCTACTCCCCCCCCCTCGGTACCCCCCCACGTCACTCCTCCTTCCCCACAGTCGTCCTCACAGCCTCCGCAGCAGCCGTCAGCGCTTCCTTTACCGGCCACTGCGGACTCTGAGGGTGTTGGTGCTCGGGGTGAGGGCTCTGGCGGTGCTCGCTCTGGGGGTGCTGGCGTTGGAGCTGTTCGTGCACCTACAGGAGCCGCCCGTTCTGGGGGTGTTGGCGTTGGCGCTGAGCGTGCACCTGCCGCGGCTGCCCGTTCCGAGGGTGCTGGAGCTGGTGGTGGTGCTGGAGCTGGTGGTGTTTCTGGAGCTGGAGAGTCTGAGGCTGGTGCTGGTGCCACTGGAGGCACCCCGACTGGGGGTGCGGGTCCACCTCCTACAGGTGCTAGTCGTGCTGCCGCAGGGGGTACACGCTCTGGGGGTTCTCAGCCGGGTGCTGTCGAGGGCGGAGCCGGTTCTTCTTCTTCGTCTCCTGACACCACTCCTCCTCCTCACCCCTACCTGACTCGACACCAGACCCGTCTTCGTCTTGAGCGTGAGGAGCAGCAGCGTTTGGAGCGTGAGAGGTTGGAGGTTCAGCAGCGGGTGGAGCGTGAGAGGCTGGAGTTGCAGCGGGAGCAGCAGCAGCAGCAGCAGCAGCAGCAGCAGCAGCAGCAGCCGCCGCAGCAGCCGGAGCAGCCTCCGGCCTCTGTTACTGGCCTTCGGGCCCTTGGTCTCCCCTCCTCCTCTCCTCCTGTGTTCGGTCCGACGTTTCCTCCTCCGGACTCAGCTCCGGCTGTGTTCCCTCGTTCTCAGTCTCCTCCGTCTCCCGCTCCGTCTCCCACTCCTCTCTCCCACACTTGGGCCTCTCGTCCTCCTCGTGCTCGTCCCTCGTCACCTGTCCGTGACCTTCGTACCGTGTTGTTTCGTCCTAGTCCTCCTCGTTCTCCTCCGTCTGTTCTTCCTCGTCCTCCTGAGTCGTCCCTCACTGCCTCCCTGTCCACTCCGGTCACTGACTACTACCGCACGTACCGCCCCACTCTCTCTCGTGTTCTTGCCTCTCTTGTTACAGACCCTCGTGCCTCTCCTTCCTCCGTCGCGGTCCTCACTGCCGCTGTCACAGACTTTACTGCTACGCGTCGCCTTGACTACGCCACTCGCGTTGTGGCGGCTCCTCCTGTCCGTCCTCTGTCCGCCGGGGGTGAGTCTGCCCTTGGCTGTGCCGTCCTAGAGGATAGACAGTTTGAGCTAGAGTTCCTGGCAGCCGCTTCACCTCATCTCTGTGCCATGCTGCTCGCTCCTGAGGGAGACCCCGACGCTCCTGACATACCTACTCCTCGCACTTACGCTGAGGCAGTGTCACGGCCTTGGGCCTCTCAGTGGAGAGCTGCCATGGACGCAGAGATGGCCTCCTACAGGTCCACAGGCACTTACGTTGACGAGGTTCCCCCCCAAGGGGCGAACATTGTTGACGGCATGTGGATCTTCAAGGTGAAGCGGCCGCCGGGATCTCCTCCAGTCTTCAAGGCACGCTACGTGGCTAGAGGTTTCAGTCAGCGTGAGGGAGTTGACTTCTTTCAGACCTTTGCGCCCACCCCGAAGATGACCACTCTTCGGGTGTTACTGCACGTAGCAGCGCAGAGAGACTACGAGCTACACTCTCTCGACTTCTCCACTGCCTTCTTGCAGGGCAGCCTACACGAGGAGATCTGGCTGCGTCGTCCTCCGGGCTTCACTGGCACTTTCCCGCCTGGGACCCAGTGGAGCCTCAGACGACCGGTCTACGGTCTCCGCCAGGCACCCCGTGAGTGGCACGACACTCTCCGCTCTACTCTGTCCGACCTTGGGTTTGAGCCGTCTTCCGCCGACCCGTCGCTGTTTGTTCGTCGTGGGCGCACACCTTTCTTTGTTCTTGTCTACGTTGACGACCTGGTTTTTGCCACAGCCGACACAGTCGCACTGGCGGAGGTGAAGTCCGAACTGCAGAAGAGACACACCTGCACTGACCTTGGGGAACTGCGCCGCTACCTTGGCCTGCAGATCTCCAGGGACAGAGCCGCTCGCACCATCACTCTGACTCAGTCACACATGGTGCAGCAGGTCCTTCAGTGGTTCGGGCTTCAGCACTCCTCTCCTCCTCCCACCCCTCTTGCTGTAGACCACAGACTCACTGGGCCTTTTCCTGACGAGCCGTTCGAGCCCAGTGGTCCCTACGCAGAGTTGGTGGGCTGCCTCATGTACCTGATGACGTGCACTCGCCCGGACCTCGCCTTCCCTCTTAGCATCCTTTCTCGCTTTGTTGCGACAGGGAGACACCGTCCTGTTCACTGGGCGGCAGCTAAGAGGGTGGCGAAGTACCTCGGCGCGACATCAGACATGGGGCTTGTACTTGGAGGGACACAGCCAGTTGTACTCACCGGTCACTGCGACTCCTCCTACGCCGACGACGTTGAGTCACAGAGGTCTACACAGGGTTACTGTTTCAGCCTGGGCTCTGGAGCTGTTTCGTGGAGGTCTACTCGGTCCTCCTCTGTTGCGACTTCTACCGCAGAGGCCGAGATCTACGCTGGAGCCCTCGCTGCACAGGAGCTACGCTGGTTGACCTTCTTGCTCACTGACCTTGGTGAGCGGCCGAGCTCTGCACCGACCTTGTTTGCTGACAACAAGGCGATGATTCTCCTGTGTCGTGAGCCTCGACTGGAGAGCAGGGTGAAGCATATCGACGTCAGGTACTTCCTCCTTCGAGAGTTGCAGAGACGTGGACAGGCACGTCTGGACTTCGTGGCCTCCGAGGCCAACACTGCAGACATCTTCACCAAGGCTCTTCAGCCTTGTGACCACCGCCGGTTTTGTCTGCAGTTAGGCCTTGTTGAGACTGGGTCTAGTAGACTGCAGTAGTGAGTTCTTGCCTCTTGTTTGTTTGTACCATATATATATTAGCTTGTACACTCTTGAACTGGCCTTGTGGCCCCTTGTTTGTGCTCAGAATGTGTGGTGACGTTGAGATCCACCCTGAGCTTTGTTTTCTCGCTTGCTTGTGACTGGTCTTGTGACCTTAGGTTGTGTTCTGTTACTTGGCATTCCCCACTTAGGCTATGGGGGTGTGTCAAATGTTATAGCCCTTAGTGGGTCATACTATATGGGGTACAAACAAATAGGGTTAGGTACTTGTACCCCAACTCAATCAATGCAATCCATTTTTCCGCTGTTCTCAGTTACTAAGAGGTGAGTGCGCCCATAACCCCCAGACCAACGTGCCTGTAACCCTTCCCTAGGATCGATCGGGGATCACCAGTGGACCTCTTGACACCCCCCCGCACTGAGATGTCCGAGGTGCACACACCGGGATTCGAACCCGAGACCTTTGCTCTGATACCATGTCAGAATCCCAGCCACTAACCACTGGGATAAAAAGGCTTGTTTGTGTAGCGGGTGAGTGCGCCCATAACCCCCAAGGCCAACGTGCCTGTAACCCTTCCCTAGGATCGATCGGGGATCACCAGTGGACCTCTTGACACCAGGCCCCTGCTGCTCCGTCATTACGTGGCCCCGCTTCGCAATCGCCTGACATCGCCCGTCCCAACATCGCCCCAATTGTACGGCCTGTGGCGGACCCGACACTGCATCCTTGGAAGAATTTAAATCATCACATCCGTGCGACCCCGGCTGGATGACACGTCGATTTTCTTCTACTGAGTGGATCGCACAAGTGAAGATGACACGTGGGTCCCGGCTGACTCGCTGCAAGGCCACTCGGTATTACGGGATTATCTTTCACGCCAACGCGTGCCTAATATTGATCACCTTTCTTAAGGGAGGGGGTAGTGTAAGAAATTTTGCCTAATTCCTTACAGAAGCACTCCAAGTGCGTACAATTCCAAGTTTCGGACTTCAGGCTCGGTCCGATGACCTCGCCTCCCGAACGTCCCTCGCGTCGCCTTTGGCTTTCCCAAACCCAAACCTGCACCCAATCTTGCGCGGTCCCGCGACCTCGGCGTAGGTAGCTTTCGCTATATTTGTCTTAGGCCTCATTATTCGCAGAGTAGTTGTAATCACTTCCGCGATATTGAAATCTGAGCACTCTACTTTGGTACAACTCATAACAAACTTCCGTCAAAATCAGGGTCTGAGGAGTTCGAGCAGCTCAGGAAGTGTTGGTGCCAGGGACTTCGACAGGCCTGCCACTGGGTACACGACCATACCCTCCCACAGTCAAACGCCACAAACTGGCCAGACATTTTTCCTTTGGTAACAGGACGATGGTGCAGCGGCGTGGAGGTGGTGGGAAGGATGGGGCAGCGGGAATGGCGGAGGAGGCGCACGTGCCGCTGCAAGCCATCCTATTGGCTGACAGCTTCGCGCAGACATTCCGACCAATCACGCTGCGCAAACCCAAGGTGGGTGCGATTTGTGAGCAGAGCGCTTAAACCCCTTCCACGCACGCCTCAATTTGTAAGCAGGGTGCGTTGAATGGAATCGAAGCATCTTGTAGCGGAGCTGGTCGATCTAGCCCTGGCAGCAGTGATCGAGCGCGGAGTTATTGGACTTTTGAGTCGACTCAAAAGTCACCTCGCGGAGGCACGGGAAGAAGCGGGTCGTCCGCGTATTCACCACCCGTCGCTCGCCGCGCCCCCTCCACATTGAACTGCGCCTCTCGCGCCTGTCCCCCTCTCGCCTCCCATCGCCTTCGATCTCCTCCCATTGCCGTGTTTGCTCCTGCCTTCCGCGTCACCCCTCTCGTCTTTGCGCATCCCTTACGACCGGGTGCGCTGCAGATCCACTAACTCCCCTGTCTCCGTGCGCCGCTCCGCCGTTCCCCCTTCTCCCCAGGTGCGCGGCGGGTGTTGCTGCTGGCGGCGGGCGCGGCCATGGCGGACTACACGCTCGGCTCAAACATTCCCCTCGTTTGTTGTGATGTCGCACAACGCCGTTTCTCCCCTTTCCCCCCCTCCTCCCCCCCCCCCCGAAAACCCCGCCCCGCCCCCCTGCTGCGCGCAGGTGCTGCTCCCGCTGGCGGGCGCCGCGATGGCGACAACACGCCCGACTCAACAGCCTTCCCCCTTTCCCCTTCCCCCTTGCTGCTGCCGACCCAAGCAGTCACTTCGTTCGTTACAATGCCACACAACGCCGTTCCAACCCCCCTTTTCCTCCCTCCCCCCTCTCTCCCTCTCCCCCATCCGTTCTGCGCGCAGGTGCTGCTGCCACTGTCTGGCGCGGTGATGGCGGCCTTCACGCTCGAGTCAAATAGGTTTCTCTCCCCCCCCCCTCCCCCCCGCGCCCTCACCTCGTATCGCCTCTCCCTTGCCGCGCGCAGGTGCTGCTACCGGTATCAGGCGCAGCAATGGTGGACTACACGCTCGAGTGGCTGGCCATGGCAGGCGTCGAGGAGACCTTCGTCTTCTGCTGCGCGCACTCCCAACAGGTGCGCCACTCCCAACAGGTGCGCCACTCCCAACAGGTGCGCCCGCCTCCAGCCAGGCACTCCCAACAGGTGCGCCTGCCTCTTCAATCCGCGCAGGTGCGTGCGCCACTCCGCGCGGGTGTGGGGGGTGTGAAGTGCACATGACACGCGGCCGGTGCCTGTGGATCGCCAATACAACAGCTGCGCTTCACTCCGTGCCTCTGCACTGCATTATTGCGTTATTTCTCAAATCCCGCCTCACGCTGACTGGCATTGACTTGAGTTGACTCGCGTTGACTGGCAGTGGCCTTCAGTCACCCAGAGATACAATCACGTGTTGTCAATCTCATGGCCGTGCATTGCCTTCACCTGCATTCTCTTGCATCGAATTAGTTCCACGCCCTCCTCAAGTGACGTGCTGCTGATCGCGTTGACTTGCATTGAATTGACATGTGTTGACCACGTTGACTTGCATTAAATTTACATGTGTTGACCGTGTTTACTTGCATTAAATTTACACGTGTTGACCGCGTTGACTTGCATTAAATTTACATGCGTTGACCGCGTTGACTTGCATTGAATTGACATGTGTTGACCGCGTTGACTTGCATTGAACTGCATTGCCACCATCCGCCACGGCCACCCCATCAGATCCGAGCGCACCTGGAGGATGCCGGCTGGATGCGCCCCTCCGCCTCCTCGCACCACCACCAGGGGGGGGGCGGGCAGCGGCACGGCATGCGGGTGTCGACAGTGGTGGCACATGACTGTGTGAGCGTGGGGGACGCGCTCAGACACATGGATCATAAGGGTGTGGTGAGTCATGGCACGCGCTCAGACACATGGATCATAAGGGTGTGGTGAGTCATGGCACGCGCTCAGACACATGGATCATAAGGGTGTGGTGAGTCATGGCACGCGCTCAGACACATGGATCATAAGGGTGTGGTGAGTCATGGCACGCGCTCAGACACATGGATCATAAGGGTGTGGTGAGTCATGGCACGCGCTCAGACACATGGATCATAAGGGTGTGGTGAGTCATGGCACGCGCTCAGACACATGGATCATAAGGGTGTGGTGAGTCATGGCACGCGCTCAGACACATGGATCATAAGGGTGTGGTGAGTCATGGCACGCGCTCAGACACATGGATCATAAGGGTGTGGTGAGTCATGGCACGCGCTCAGACACATGGATCATAAGGGTGTGGTGAGTCATGGCACGCGCTCAGACACATGGATCATAAGGGTGTGGTGAGTCATGGCACGCGCTCAGACACATGGATCATAAGGGTGTGGTGAGTCATGGCACGCGCTCAGACACATGGATCATAAGGGTGTGGTGAGTCATGGCACGCGCTCAGACACATGGATCATAAGGGTGTGGTGAGTCATGGCACGCGCTCAGACACATGGATCATAAGGGTGTGGTGAGTCATGGCACGCGCTCAGACACATGGATCATAAGGGTGTGGTGAGTCATGGCACGCGCTCAGACACATGGATCATAAGGGTGTGGTGAGTCATGGCACGCGCTCAGACACATGGATCATAAGGGTGTGGTGAGTCATGGCACGCGCTCAGACACATGGATCATAAGGGTGTGGTGAGTCATGGCACGCGCTCAGACACATGGATCATAAGGGTGTGGTGAGTCATGGCACGCGCTCAGACACATGGATCATAAGGGTGTGGTGAGTCATGGCACGCGCTCAGACACATGGATCATAAGGGTGTGGTGAGTCATGGCACGCGCTCAGACACATGGATCATAAGGGTGTGGTGAGTCATGGCACGCGCTCAGACACATGGATCATAAGGGTGTGGTGAGTCATGTCACGCGCTCAGACACATGGATCATAAGGGTGTGGTGAGTCATGGCACGCGCTCAGACACATGGATCATAAGGGTGTGTTGAGTCATGGCACGCGCTCAGACACATGGATCATAAGGGTGTGGTGAGTCATGGCACGCGCTCAGACACATGGATCATAAGGGTGTGGTGAGTCATGGCACGCGCTCAGACACATGGATCATAAGGGTGTGGTGAGTCATGGCATGCGCTCAGACACATGGATCATAAGGGTGTGGTGAGTCATGGCACGCGCTCAGACACATGGATCATAAGGGTGTGGTGAGTCATGTCATGTCATGGCATGCTGCTGGTTTATATCATCTCCATCTTAATAGCATCGTGCATTCTCTCACTCACTACTCTACTCCATTCGCCAGCTGGCACCAAGCGGGTATCTTGTTGCTGCTCACTCCAACCAAGCTGCACCCCTCCCTCCCATCACTCTGCCCGTTCCCCGTTTAGCCACTCTGGTTGCATCATCCATCCAAATATTCATCTTTCCCTCATGCCGCACTGCCTTCCCTGCCCTGCCTGCCGTGCCCCCCCTGTCCTGTTACCCCCCCAACTTCTGCATGCTGTGGTAACCCTATTGTGTTGCGGTTTTCAGATCCGAGGGGATTTTATTCTGGTGAGCGGGGATGTCATCGCCAATGTCTCGCTCTCTCACGCGCTGCAAGCCCACAGGTGAGAGACACCTCTCCTCACGTCAGCATCCCGGGTGAGAGAGTGCTCTGCTGATGCCCACAGGTGAGAGACACCTCTGCTGGGTGAGAGAGTGCTCTGCCGGTGAGAGACACCACAGGTGAGAGAGTCAGCATCCCGGGTGCTCTGACGCCCACAGGTGAGAGAGTGCTCTGCTGACGCCCACAGGTGAGAGAGTGCTCTGCTGACGAGAACCACATGGGCCACAGGGTAGAGCTCTGCTGGCGTCAGCAACACACTCAGGTGTTTCCGACCTCAGTGTGGTCTGACTTTGAGTCAGCTCACAAGTCACGTCCTTCATTCCCTCTCCCCCAGACTCACAATCTGACGCAGATGCCCCACGATGGGAGGAGTGCAGCGACACAGCAGCGGGGGGACAGGTGGCTTTTGCTCCGCCTTTTACTCGCGCTCATGATCTCAATTTTTGTGGTGACGTCATGAGCTGTGCCCAGACCGATTGGGGCTGCTGCACCGGTGCTCTGGGCCTGGTTTGGGCCTTGGGCTCTTGGGCTCGGCGACCACAGTGGTGGTCCCCAGGGCGGGCTGAATTCATTGGCACCCCGCATTGACCACAGTCAATGCGCACATGGCTGCCCATGCCGGACACCCGCCCACACTGCCGCCAGTTGCCCCCTTACCAGACCTGTCTCACCATCCGTTCTTGCCTGTTCCCCCTATACCTGCTGCCTGAGCGTGGAGCAGCCTGACCGTGCCTGTATGCCTCCCACCCGCTGTCGTTTCACCTCCCTGGCACGTGTATGTGTGTGCATGCTTGCTGTGTGTGAGTGTTCACGAGTGATATGTGCGCATGTGTGTGCGTGCGTGCGGGTGTGTGTGGTGTGTGTGCGTGTGTGCATGTCTGTGCATGTATGTGTGTGCTTGCATGCCTGGTGTGCGGGCACAGGGAGAGGAGGCGCAAGGACAAGCAGGCAGTGATGACCATGCTGCTCACGCACTGCCCCTCCAACCCCCTCACCCACCTCGTATGCCCCTCACCACTTCTTATAATATTCTTCCACCCTCCTCAGCATGATTTCACATGAACTTATGGTGGTGTGTTTCTTGCACTGATTCATCTCATATTTTCGTTCTTTTGAGAATTCTCAAAAGTCGCTTTAATATACTTGCATTCCTGTGTGCTCCTCACGATGCCACCTCCCCCTTTCCCCTCTCCCCATTTTTTTTGCCCGAACATGCTTTTGATATTCTGTGTTTCTTGGGAGATTCAGACGCGCACGGGCAGCGAGTCACAAGTGTTTGGCATCTGCCCGGACTCCACCCAGCTGCTCTTCTACGACC